GCTGAAAGATCGGCTCTAGAGGAAAGAAAAACGAATGAAAGAAATATTATTAGTGAAGATGGAAAAATTATCGAAAATATGTTTTGGAATAGTTTAAAAGTAGAATATAGGTATGGAAAATAACAATCTGAAAACTTTTGTATACAAAAACAGGTTAATACATTTTTATCAAAATATTATAGCACTTTTGAAGACTTCATTACTATGAACAAGACTAATAATTCCCATATGCCGATTGATGGAGTGTCAGAAATGTTAAATGGCACAGGTAGTAATATTAACGTATTAGGCATGAAAAAATTATATTCTAAATTATGTTATTTTTAACATTAAGATGTAGAAAGAATTCATGAAAAATATCCTAATATAAAAAAAAAGATTGATAAAGCTTTGAAAATCACTTCGAAAAATTCGAAAAATTGGATAGAACTAAGGAAATTATTTGAATTTGTAATGCAGACTGTAGAAGGAAATAAACCGGCTCAGAATGATAATGATAGAAATGAGGCAATTAAAGAACTGTATAATTTGCTAGTTGATCAAGAAATTAACTTTCAAAAACAAGTAAAGAAATATTTCCAAGAACAGAAAAGAAAAAATCAAGATAATCGCTTATCTTACATGTTTTCAAGAGTCAACCAATTTTTAGACATTTACTACGATATTAATGACATAGTTTCAAATGTAGATGCCGAAATTAAACAAAAAATTAAAATGAAAACTGATAGTCAATTTATTCAGGATCTCCATAGTTATAAATTTGTGAATACTGATGAGATCACGAAAAATCGTATTACATCTCGTTTTTTAGATGAATATCAAGAATGGAGAAACAATGTATTCCATCCAGAAATGCAAAAAAGCAAACCAAAATATTCAGATCGATCAAAAGAAATTAATTCAAGGCTTGAAGGTGAAAGCAAAAAAACTAAAGAACAAATTACTGATCGTGAATTTCTCAGGATTTGTGAAGAAATTGAAAAAAAACATTCTGAAGGGTAATATTTAATTAAATAATTTCTCAACTTATGAATTTACTTAATAATTTAAAAAAATTATATTTTAAAGGCCTATACTTAAATCGAAAAAGTTCAAAATGGTAGTCTTCAAGGTTACTTCATTATTTATCACTTGGAAGAAATTCAGCCCGAGCAGCTACAATACACAATCTATAATACAAGTCTCGATCAGAATGATATTTTGAGTTTGAGACAAGATGAATTACATGTCCCTAATCCAACAATCGAGTTGTACCATCAAAATAACTGTTTTTCCTTTTTAATCGATCCGCAATCCTATGAACTAAGGTGATAAATATATTGGATAATTATTGAATATAAATTTATAATAACTGACGCAACTTTTTATTTTTTTAAAAAAAGAAAAGTGGCATTATTTGAAAACAATAAATGCTTTATTGCTCTATGGAATATAAATCAAAATCGACTTGAAATTTATTATGAAACATTGAGAAGAACGTCAGTGCAATTGGAAGGCAAATATCGAAAACCTAAGACTTTGCATCCAGAAGAGCAATGTCTTATTGCTGTAAACGAGCCAAAAGGCATGTTTAGCATATATCAAACTAAAAGGGGAGTGGTAAGTTCTTATTATATTATAACATGTTTATCAACTATAAAGTTTTTAAGATATTTTATATTTTAATAGTTAGACGTTTACGTCATTGATGAAAGTCAAACATTTTATATACGGGCAGGAGGTGTTCAAATTTGT